CAGTGGGTACCCGGAATAAAGCAGCTGGGGCGTGAAGCTGATCATTTACCTCCCAACTATTCCCGAGGTCAAGAAACTCGCCCATACGCCTTCATGACGTAGTGATTAATTAGTTGGGCACAGGGACAACTAGTGGGGTACGCCGTAGGGTAGTTGCTGCAAGCCGGAAAGTCGGAAGTTCGATTCCCGATTAGGTCATTATATTTTTCAGTTGACCTAATCCATCCATCCAGCCGCATTATGGCCATGGGTGGACTCAGCCTCTGACAGAAATGAGTACCTGGAACCTTCCTCGGGATAAAGAACGGTCTGCGCGTAAGGCTGAGAAACACCGTCATCTGTGATCCGGTGGGAACCTCGACGTCTCACAACCCTATGGGCCTCGATGGCCTGTTACAGGATTAACTACCTTTACCTTCACAGGGACAACCTTTAGGATGAAGCCCAGTGGTGCACAGTTGTGAACACGGTAGCGAATCTTCGGGTTGAAGGGGCCTGTGCGTTGGCGAGCTGATCTGCTGTTAGCTTCCAGAGAAGGGACTCTGGCCCATGGACCGCCATTTCATTAGATTCCAGATAAAAGTTATGCTCTGGAGAATTACTTAATGAGGCTCGTTTTGGGTCCCACGACAATTGGAAATGTTTGTATCCTGCACGGACAATGTGTGAAGTTTACCGTGACATTACTGAGCGGTGAATCACTAAGTGTCCGGAAAGACAGCATGCCAGAGTTAATGAAATGCGTTGGTGACGTTAATAAAGCCAAAGTATGCTGCCTAGCAAAATGTGATGCTACAGGAGGCATGAGTGATATTAAAACTGTTGGTTCTCAGGCGTTCCTACTGACGCAAGTTTCCCTTTTTATGGTAACTGAACTTAACGTTTTAAATTTCGAATCTTATAATGTTACAGCCTCATTTCCGCGTAAAAACGTAAACACGCAGGTCGCTTGAAACCAATAAATGAGAAGATATTGGACGCTGCCCAAAAATTATAAAGATTTTAGGGTTCGTTTGTTTCGGTTTAAGAACTGGTGTGTATGGATTTTGCATCTGGTACGACTCCAACGTAAATGACTATATCAGATTCGTTTAGGTCTCACTGATGTATATATGTTTTGGTGTTCTGTTCTTTTTAATACCAGATTTTATATTTATATAAACAAGGAATTTGTTTTTCAAGTCTAATTTTGTACAGTTCGCCGATGGAGTTTGTCTAGAGGTAACACTAGCCGTATTTTCCGGAGGACCGCCTCTGTTGTCTACTGGCCAGAGTTCCTGGTTACAGATCCAGAGGTGCCGGGTTCGATTCCCGGCGCTACCAGATTTTCTGAGAAGTAGTGGATCAGGAAAGGGGCCCACTCAGCCTCGTGAGGATAATTGAGGAGCTATTTCAAGGAAATAGCGGCTCCGCTCTAGAAAACCGTGATTAACGGCCGTGGGGAACCGTTGCGCTGACCACGCGACACCCTCTGTCCGCAAAAGTTGGCACTAACTTCGCCGACAAGCGGCGGTTGCTTGGTCGGTATAGTTCGCATGCGGACTGCAGGCCACGGAGTTTGAGCTTTACAGGGACACTGGTTATTCTGAGAGTTTTCATTGTTTTCCTCAGCCCCTCCAGGCAGATGTGATAGTACGTCGATTATGCCACTGCTCCATCCTTCAAAATCCTTTTCATTTCATTATTACTCTGTCATTTTACTATTCGACACTGCATAGCCTCGATACTAGAAGCGTCGTTAAATAACCCACAAAAAATAAGATAGATGACGAGTGGGATTTGAAACGATACCTAAACAAAATAGTAACATTTATTAAATTATCTTACTTTGCAGTTGTATAATTTGATGCTTGTAAACCACCTGATGTTAATGTAGTGTCTCATGGAACTGTCTGTCCAAATTGAGCTTACTTTGACGGTATATCGTGGTCATGTGTAACCCTTTGAAGCCAGAAATTCATCTAAATATGTAAACATTCAGTTCCTACCTCACAGAAAAAATTTCGTATCCATTGAAAACATCAATCGGTTAAGGCTGTTTAGGGAAATGATCCTTTTATTATGAGAATAACAGGAAACACGTAAATGTACTTTGTGGGAAAAATAATGTTACGAATCAGGAGTGTGTGTGACTGTGGGCGGGATATGGATTGGGTATTGGATTTATTGACCACTTGTACATCACTCGGAACTACACTTTATAGATCACTAACTCGCATATACTATTGTTCTCAGTCTGTTAGTCTCCACTAGCCGTTTCCTGGCAACATATTTAACACACAGTGGAGATTCTTCAGCTTCCCACGCTCAGGTTCTCTTGTCACAGTCGCCCGTTAGATTAAGAACACATCTACAAATTAACGAAAAAAGAATATGAAAAAGGTAAAGTTGTCTCTGTGCCTAACTAATTAAGCACTACGCCATGAAGGGATATGGGGAAGTGGATGTATAGATCCACATTTTCTTGACCTCGACACTGGCTGGAGGTCAGTGGTGAGCTTTACGCCCCTTCCCCTTTACCACCGGGGAAAGAGCCCCCGGTACCCATTGGATAGAAGGCTTGGTGGGCCCCAGAACCGGTCTGGACGGTATGGAGAAGAGATACTTCTGTCCCTATCGGGACTCGAATTCCGACCCCTTGTTCATCCAGCCCGTAGGCAGGTGCTATACCGACTGGGATATCCCGGCCCACTCAAGTTAATGAAATCAGTTTCAAAAATAATTCGTAAAGTATTTGGCGCGTCATACAGTGAGACGAGTGTTCCCGTAACCGTATATTAATTTTAAATTCTGGGCAAGAAATATAAGTGACCTGTAAAATTGTTCCAGAGCTTAATTAAGCAGCACACCATGAAGACGTGTGGAGAAGAGGTGTAGCTCTAAAGAAAGAATTCGCACTAAATTCAGTGCCCTGGTATACATGTACGTTGTATTAGTGATATAAGTTCAGATAGTTTATATCGTAGATGCCATTATATCAAGTCATATTTATTTGTTTTTTTTTTACCAAGATATCCATGCCAAAGGCACTCGTTTTCTCTGTCCTCAGATAAATAGGTCTTGACCTTTCAAATGTAGAAGTTTTATAACTGCTGTAAGATTTACCATAGGGTTAACTGCAAAGTAGACATCCATATGTCAGGAAATATCGCCTTTATGTTCTTGGGATATACTGGGTGTAAACTCAGAACAAAGCAATTTTCTCGTAAATCAGTAATTCGAATAGTTTTTCTCGTGCCAGTTATCAGAATAACATAATATGCCTATTATTTTACAGAAAAAAAGATATTGGACGAGAAAATATGCATACGATTTGTCGCCTGCAAATGACCTGCCGAGTAGCATACGTAATGATTATTCTGCAAGGAAACACGGATAGCTAAGTCAGTAGGTGCGCTCCAGGTTGCAAGAACCGGAGCGCGATTCCTGGCAGGGGAAAGATATTTTTCTCTTTTCTCTTTCATCCAGATCGGCTGTGAAGACTACCTAGCCTCTAAAATGGGTAACTGGGGCTGTTTCCCACAGGCTTGAAGTTGACCGCTCGTCTCTATCAGGTGCTGAAGATATACATGCATCGCCCATACGTCTTCATGGCGTTTTGGCGTTTTGTATATGTAATCGAGCACACGGTTTGTTATACTTTTCCAGGTTATGTGGTCGACGGAGGAATTAATTCAGATTTTGTCATTTAAATCCTTCCTGTAATTTGGCTAATTACCCGTGTGAATATAGAGCCGGGATTCCTCAGTCGGTATAGCGACGGGCCGCACGCCCTTAGTTCGATTCCTATCAAGGTCAAGATTTCTCTCTACTCCACAACGTCCAGACCGGCTATGGAGCCCTCCCAGCCTCCTATCCAGTGGGTACCGGGGGATTTTCCCTCGGGGGTAAAGCGATAGGAGCGTGAAGCTGCCCACTCCCATCTAGTGCCGTGGCCAAGAATGGTGGAGCTGACCTCAATTGCATCACGTTTTCATGGCATAGAGCTTAATTAATTAAGCACAGGGGCAATTTTACTTTTGTGAATATTATGACAGTTCTCATAACTTCCAGGTGACGTCAGTGTATACTTGCCGAGATTTAAAGCCCAGTGGTTACTGTATGTACCGCGTGATTTAACATACTGAAACTCTGCGTTTTGCCCACAGTGTGTTCGTGTGTAACGTGTGATTCTCACAATGAACGACAGTTATTTCCGTAAATAGCGTTAATCGGTTGGTGTTTGTTGCGGAGATCTGAAGTGTTCCCTGTGAGGTATGAACCGAAGCTTTATATATTGTTGAGGATAAATGTGAGCCTCAAGTGTAGATACTGACAATGGACTTGCTAACACAGACTATGACTGACGAATGTCATTTGTTAGTCATGGTCTGTGTTGGTGGGTCCATTGTCGGTGTTTGCATATATTTACAAATTTGGTCTTAATTCCTGTTTCTATGTACAATGTATGCAGGGCCTCTGTCAATCCAGGCAGAGGCCTTGTGTATATTGTGCGTGGAGGTAGGAGTTGGGGGCTCGACACCAAGACAAGACAGACTGACCGACTGTCAGTCGCAATGTGACTTTGACTTTTAGTCCCAAGTGACTCAGACCTGAGAAAGACTGCGCTGGCAAGAGCCAGCAGCATATATAGAAGACAGACCCGTCCCCTCGTTAGAGAGGGCGCCCCAAAAAAGAAGACCGTAACTGTCAAGCACTAATAAATATCTGGTCATGAGCCCCAGATGGGGCTCGACACCAAGACTTACTGACTGACTGACTGACCGACTGACCGACCGTCAGTCGCAATGTGACTTTGACTTGTGAGCCTCAAGGGGCTTGGCGTAAAGACGAACTGATCGGCGGCAAAGCGCCAGTCGTAAAGTAACACTGACCTTGATTCGACTGTGCTGGCGAGGACCAGAAGCAGTTTACTGAAGTTTCCAAATTGACATACGTCCTTCCCCTTTTCATATAAATATTTGACGAAAACCGATGTAATGTGGCTCATTTATTTCCAGAATGTACCCAGTTGGAGGACCCTCGTCTGGAATGGCGTGCCATCCAAGAGGCAATGTTGCGGGAGTACTTGCAGACTGCCCAAGACGTCTTGGAGGTGAGTACATTCATTGGCTTTCCTCCAGCTGTCCAGTTTCCGTCTGTGGGACCTGGTGGCATCTTAACGATATTGGAGAAATGTGCGTGAAAATGGGGGCTGAAGAAAGCCGTGTTCTCGGATGTGGCGCCGTGTAGAAATTCTGTTAACCGACGTTTCGGAGGAACGTATCATATTTGAGATTCTCACGGCGGTGAACATTAAAATTACTGTTTTTTTGTACATGACGCCGTGTAATTACTGACGGATGTTAATGAATTGGTAGGACCTACCGCCTCTGTTTTCAGTGTAGGAGGAAAGACGGGGGGGGGGGATGTTTGTCACTAACGTTGGCATCCATATACCAAAATACACAGCGCCACCAAGCAAGTTAAGCTGTAACCCGCATGATTTGTCCTCGAGCGATGGCTGGTTCGAACCTCGGTTGCGACATCTGACTGAGGGTGTTAGTGGTTTCGTGAGTTCCACCAGTAAATGATGGCATAGTACCTTAAATTAGGTCACGACTGCACAGTTTCACGTCGTGTCCAAGGCATTGTTCGCCGTCATCCTATTGTCACGTGTCCGGGGTTCCGTGACAAATAATTAATGGGTTACGGCTTTAGACGACGCTGTTTATTGGAGAATTACTCGTTTACAATTACAAATACAAGAAATCTGAAATAGCTGCCTTCCAGACGATGCGACCCGACTAGTCTGTCGTCTCCCGTGTTTCATCTTCGACGGTTATCCTCTTGCACCGCAATTCTCGGTGGAATGTCCCCACTCTTGGTTCTTCTCTTATCTCTCGTCGGTTCTGACTGTTCTGTCGCAATCTACCCTCTCAAGTAGATCTTAGCGCACCGCTGAGAGAACACTTTGTCGAATGGTTCTCTCTCCCGTGTTAGCTAGAATGTTCTTTAGCGGGTCTATTCGTTGCCTAGGAATTGCTAGCTGTTGACTAGCAGTGGACGCTTGTCAGCACAGTGTCTTGACAGTGGGTTACCTAGGAAGTGTTACGTCTTTATGGAGTGGGTTCACCTGTCACACTATCATTCGACGCTGTGTAATCTTAGTTAGTGACAGTGTGGCTGATGTTCTAGAAGAAAACACACGGCGTCACATGGCAGAAGACTGGAATCTCGCTAATCTGAAATAGAACTGCCTCAGGATAAGGTCTGATGGCGAATTTATGTCAACACAGTGATTGACCTTCGAGTTCCACTAAACCAGCTGAGTTTTTTAAGAACGCCACTGCACTATTCGGGTTTGCCTTGTGGAAGGAAGAAGAAGGAAGAAGAAGGAAGAATAACTTCAGAATATAGACCAAGCCAGGGAGCAGGCTGCATTGAACTGGCAAGCTGTTTGACTGGATAATTAAATGCAGGAATGTTATAGTGTTCGTACACCTAACATGACCAGTTTGAGGACAACACGAGACATTGATGGGATTACTTGCATGGACAGGAGACTCTTTCTCACCTCATGACTTAATTGATTGAATTGAGATGAAGTTGTTTCTGTAATATCAGCGGGAGCCCCTCGCTACTTAACCGAGGTAAATTGAAGTTTTAACTTGGAAAGATCCGAAAGGGTTTAGTGTATCCAGTAGCGCTGCGTGATTGTGAACAGTGTACATAGGTCGTGTGAGGTTTGTGTCCTTTTGGAGTAACTGTTAGACATCACGACAGAGTCTGCCTCTGGATTAGTGCTGTATTTTTCTCTCTCTGTGGCTCTACAGCCCTTTGGACCTTGGCTGCTTTTTCAGTTTCTTAATATATGCACAGTCGGTATGACTCTTTGGACGGGGGATCACCCCGTCGCTAGGCCGCTGCCTACACACAGAATAAACGCACACACAGACATCCATGCTTTGAGTGAGATTCGAACCCACGATCACATTGTTCTAGCGGGCGAAGACTGTTCATGCCTTAGAGCGCGCGACCGCAGTGATCGGCTTGTATGTACTACTGTCCCTGCATAATTGGAAGAAATGTGGAGAGCTAGCTGTAACACTTAAGTGCGTATTTGGGATTTGTTTTTCTCGGTCAGCACTTCGTCAGGCTTGTGCCATATGCGTTTGATACGTTTCCGTAGTACAGCAATCCTTCGCCGCCAGCTGGGGTTCTGTCTTCGGGGGGGGGGATTGCGTTGCAGATGAAGACGCTTTGAGAAATAAGGGGTTAGAGGAACCATGGCCGCGGCTGATAGAAAGAGTGTCTTGAATAATAATAATAATAATAATAATAATAATAAGAAGAAGAAGAAGAAGAAGAAGAAGAAGAGTCGGTATAGCGACGGGCTGGACGACCGGGGTTCGATTCCTGTCTGGGGAAAGATTTTTGTGTTCCAAAGCGTCCAGACCGGCTCTGGGACCCACCAGCCTCCTTTCGAATGAGTAAAGGGGGAGAAGGTTCCTTCAACGGGGATGAAATGGCAGAGGCGTGACGCTAACCAACCCCATCTAGTGCCGAGGTTATGAATGGTGGAGCTATACATCCACTCTGTATATGTCTTCGTGGCATGATGCTTAATGAATTAGGCACAGAGACAAGTTTATCTTTACATTTTTACCTGTAGTAGTAGTAGTAATAGTAGTAAAGGTAAACTTCCTGTGCATAACTAATTAACAAATTAAGGACTACTCCATGAAGGCGTATGGGGGAGTGGATGAATAGATCCACGTTTTCTTGACCTCGGCACTAGCTGTAGGTTAGTGATCAGCTTCACGCCCCTGCCGCTTTACTCCCTGTGAAAGAGCCCCCGGTACCCATTGGATAGGAGGCTGGGTGAGCCCCAGAGCCGGTCTAGACGATATGGAGAAGAGAAAATTCTGACTACCTGGACTCGAACTCCGACCCCTCGGTCGTCCAGCCCGTAAGCAGTCGTTATACCGACTGCGTTACCCCGGCTCACAATGGTGGTGGTGGTGGTGGTGGTAGTAGTAGTAGTAGTAAACAACAACAACAACAACAACAACAACAATAACAACAGGAAGAAGAGTGGCATATTAACAGCAACACCATTACCACATACTGTTGGAATACCGGTAGCGGAAGGCGCTCAGTTTCAGTCTCGGCTGGGACACCGACTATCATGGCTTTCCTCAACCCCTCCAGACAAATGCTGGGACTGTACCTCGATCAGACAAAAGCGCTTCATTCCACATCATTCCCAACTCATCAGCCATCTTGCCATTCGAGATCCGACAACGTTGTGAAATACATTACAAAATTCCCCTCAGGAGTTCGTTTAATCCTCTAGCGGGCTCTGAATGAATATGACGACTTCATATAAGGCAGGGGCATTTCTTCACTTAAATTCTCAGGTCTCTTCTCATAGAAGTCGGGTAAAAGGTGAACTAAACACAACGCTATGAAGATATATTGTGTGGTGGAGGTATAGATCCACGTACTCTTATCCTCGGAATTGAATGAAGGTCAGCGGTCATGTTCACTACCCGGCATCTGTGAGAAGAGAAAGAATTTTGTCCATGTCTGGAATCGAATCCTGATTCCTTTGCCCGCCAAGCCTAGCTTCTCCATATTAGTAACTGCGCTATGCCTGTGGCGTCCCACTTTCATTTTATACAAAACCGAGACTGTACATTACATGGTGTTACTTGGTCCATATTTGTACTTTGGATATGTACTGGAGATGCCCCCAGTGCAGTGCTTTACTTATACGTTTTACGAAATTTGGCCAGTAATTATTGTGACATGACGCCCGAGATCTCGAATAATGAAGTCAGCATAGACGTTCATTATTAGGCAACGACTCTGTAAACACATTCCTGCGGTGACGAACACACAAGGAACAGTCGAGTAACTTCCGTTGCTATGCAACGACGGTGTCCACATCCCCTCACAACAATAGAGAGGCTTTGTTTTCTAGGTGGTCCATGCAAAGTGGTTATAGAGAAGAATTCACTTGAGAAGATAAGTTTCGAGACGCCAACCTGCCAGGTTATGAGCTTGGGAGCAGAGGAATTGAATTGAGTTTTTGGATTTGGCCGTTGCAGAATGATGGCAAGAAAGGAAGTAGGCTGTGAAAAGAAGACTTCTTGTGTGATGCAGCTACAGTGAGACCGTTATGAATCCGTTGCCAGGATACGACTAGTGAAAACTGAGAACCCTAGTTCGTGTGTGACGGTGAACTGCCAAGTGTGTAGATCAGCGATATCGCTGTACTGCCTGTAGACCCGAGTACTGTGTATAAGTTGTCGATAAATCCAATCATCCAATCCGAAACCCGTCAGGAACAAATCACACTGACTTTTGCAGTTGGATTGGGCGATGTTCTGATGGCAGGTTCCAGTGAAGGAATTACGTTGAAGTGTACTGTCCTCTGGGATGTAACGCCATCTGGTGCGGTAGAAGTCCACCGTCATTTCGGAGTGACCCATTGCCTCCACCATCAGGGCCGAAGAGTATATGCCAAGTAAGAAATCAGTATGAAGCGGGCCATAAGCAGAGTACTGGAGGCCGTATGTGCCTCCGAAACGACTGCTAACTTCTGGACAGTGTGCGATTTGAGGTTCTCACAGCGGTGGTTATGAGGGGGTCTGTGTTTTGGGATATAAGGTTATATAGTCAGCCAAAAGTCAACTGACGTTTCTGATGAACGTCTCGCCTCGATGTTCAAGGTTGATTGGTCTGCTTGCTGTTTTACGCTGGTTTCTTGCGTGGCTTATTCATGGATCCTGAAGATGAATGCGACATGCTCCTTGAAATGTCGGCTTTGAACGGACTACACGGCGTTATATTCCAGAAGCTAGAGCACTTCTTCTGGACTTACCGCCGTCACATCTCAGAAGAGATAGCACACTCCATACTCACCGCTGTGAGAATCTGTAACCTAACAAGGGAATGGACCGAAAAGATGTTAGCCGGGGAGGGCGCAACCGGTATAGCGACTGATTGGACGGCGTCGAGTCGGAGTTTGAGTCCCAGTAGAGGCAAGATTTTTCTCTCCACGTCGTCCAGACCGGTTTTAGGGCGCTCCCAACCTCCTATCAAATG